CTGCGCCCAGAGATAGCCATTTTGAAAAAAGCGAGCAGAGTAGCCCTGGGAACGAGGTTGATAAAAGCGTGCGTATTCGTTCTTTTCTTTCTCTCAAGCAATAGTTGGGTAGCCTATGTCATTGCGAGCATGTACTCAGTCTCCCAGGATACATTGCGCGCTCAAAATCCAAGATGTCTGCCGCGCACATTGGCTATTGCAATTTGCCATTTTATCCGACAACCTTTTTTGAAATAGCTATATACTAAAATAATAATATTGTAATAGTAGAAGGGCTTGTTGACATGTTGTTGACATATTCTTGACAGAAATGTAACAGAATTTAACCTTGTAACTTTATAACTTGTAACGCTATTTCCAGGGACCCAAATTCTGCTGGTTTGCCAGTAGATSATCAGGGATCTCCAGACGATTTTTTGCCTCGTATGTAAGCCGTATGTAGTTGTATGTAGTCGTATGTTACTCGTACGTAGTCGTTTGTGACTTGTGGGTAGTTTTAGCAACGATATATTACCACCTCATGAGTCCCATGAAGATCGTGCAAAAAATTATTGGTATTTGGGTTTCCTGTGGTCTCGCCTGCCCGCAACCTCGTTCCCAGGGCTACTCTGCTCGGTTTTTTCGTTTTTTCAAAATGGCTGAAGAAAGCGAGTAGCCCTGGGGACGAGGTTGGCCTGCCCGGGCATGTTTTGATGTCACGCAGCTATTTTTAGTAGGTAGATCCTAGTCTTTCGCGCCTTGCCGTCATCCGTCACGGTCATATCTGGCGTCCATTTGTTCTGATTTTTGGAAATCGTGTATGTAAAATTATTGTAGACCTCATTATACTTAAAATTGTAAAGACAGAAGAGAAGAACTCAAAGAAAGCGACCTAGACGTGTTATGGGTGTATTTTGAAGAACAGCAGAAAATGCAAGCACTGGATAATCCTTGACAATGGAATTGCAATCGGTCGCTTGGATTTTTGTTGTATTATTCGTCGGACAGTTAAAAGTAAGTTTGTTTTGATAACAGGTAGTTGTTATAAACATTATTAAAACAATTAATCAATACATAAACTTACTGTTTGATCGATACATTTGGTCTTAACATCCATATGAATCATTTTAAGCTTACTACCGTAGTTGTCGCTGCTATGACTAAAACGCGATTTCTCTCTCTTTTGAACTGACCTCAATTTGACGAATATTGTTTCTTCTAGAAAGTTGTTCTTCGCTTTTAATTCGATAACGTTTTATTGACCTTCTGGTTTACCGCGGGAATCAAGTGTAGCTACACCTTCTGTGATCAAAGAGATCACACATAAACTTGTTAAGTAA